AAAACATGTGTCTGTGCTGCTCAAGACAGTCTCAATCTTAATTTTGTAAGCTACAAAGAGGCCAATTTGGCAATTTAAGGGTTGCCTCTATTCCTTCTCAGGGCTGTCGATGGATTTGTCCATGGCACTGACGTCATCGCTAGGCCAAAGCAGAGAGTATTTAATTAGTGTCTCTGGCCAAAGCCCGCCGTGTGTTTGGCTTCGTAGCCTACGTAGTAACCAACGAAGTTCCGCGAAGTGACGGTTTGATGGGAGGGGAGACAATTTAAAGTTACGAGCCGGCGCGATAACAAACGTGAAGGAATGAGGCTCTGTCGCGACAAATAAACAGCAGTGAATCCCACTTCTCTATTTGAGCGCCTTCAAATCGGCAAGGTGCTTTTTGAATGTTGATACATGTTTGTTTGGATTTACTTAAAACTGAATGAAAAATCATCATCAGCGATAAATCTCCTGTCAACAGTCCAGCTGAAAAAAATCTGACCGGCACCGCCGGTCTTGCCCAGTTAACAAACCGCCCCTGGATAGAATATGAGGATTAAGAAAAGTACGTACAAGCACGCAGATATATATGACAATGTTAGGAATACAAGAAAAAAAACAACCAAGTGTGCATCAGAGACGATGCAGCATCCGAGTCAACTTCTGAGAATGAGAGTAAATTTGAAATACATGATAAAGATTTGTGTTCCGGGACGATGATTTGTGCAATGTCGTCGGTCGTCGATTTGTTTGTTTGTTTGGGAGGGGTTTGGGGGTATTGTTGTTGTTTGCTGGGGGTTTTTTTGGGGGGGTGAATTAAGCTTATTCTAGCTTATCAGTAAAAAATAAGTGTCCTGGGATACCATGCAGTGGGATGTTATCTTTAACTTTAACAAAAAGATGATAACAACACGTATGCGACACTTATGTTGGTCAATATGGGCCCTAGCTAATCATCATAGGCTACTAGTTGTCACTGTAGATCAACACATTGTACAAAATATGGTTACATTTAGAGAAACCTATTTAGCTTCCTATGGAAACGCTAGAAATTAAAGAACACCAAACTAGGGGCCTATAGCTAAAAATTGCATTAATGAAATTCTACACTTGTGTAGGATAGGCTTAAGTTTAAATTAAGAAGGATGTTATATTAAGTGTTATATTATATAAAAATATAACTATTCACAGGTGTCGAGGTGACGTTAATGTGTGGCGCTAGTGGTGGTGTCATGGATAAGACATCTCATTCCAATTTTAACAAAAGCAAGGAAGTGCATCTTGTACCCTCTTATAGTGGCAAAAGCCAATCTAAAATCTATAGAGTCGCATGAGAAGAACCCATCGCAAAACTGAAGAAAGGAACTCCTTGAAGAGTAATTTTACACCAAGAAGAGGCGAATATCATGATATAATTATAGTCTTTAACAAGAAAACATGTGTGTCTTATAGGATAAGAAGGAAGGTAGCGCACTTATATATATACGATCCATCGTCAACGAAAACGGCGACATATGAAACAGTTTAGAGCAAGAAGAAAATTAATCTTTTAATCTATTTCTTATCTTGCGGAAGAGACACCTTTTGCAAAACGAAACATTTAACTTACAAGTAATACAGGCTTGCGCATCTTTTGAGAGGAGAACAGAATACATCAGCAACAGAAAAAACAACTTTTTTAAAAAGGGAATCATAATTTTGTCATACTAAACGAGACTCACATGTTCCATAGCATCGAGGCCAGTTAGTTGAGTTTAACAGGTAAAAATGTCCCATTTCAAGAACTGCCGGAGTGCCGTCAGTCGAGCTCTGAAACCTCAGTTTGTTTAAAAACATACACAGCCACTCGATCTTGAATAGTAAATATTGGTAAACGTTGTTTTACTAGAACTCTAGTAGTTCTTTTAAGAAAGTGGAACTTCCTTTGTCTTGCTGCTTCTGGTGGGATTGGGGGTGGGGGGGGGGGGGGGGGGGGGAGGAGAAAAAAGAAAGCACTGAAAACTAATGGGAACTTATGTCTAAAACGATTATTAAATACAATATTATGTCTAATTGTTTTGTTTGTTTGGTAGGCTACGTGGTGGTTTGGTTTTTATTTATTTATTTATTTATTTTTTGCGATTCCCTTCTTTGGTTTTTCATCACCAAGGAGAAATTTAAATTATGAGTCATCATGTACATGAAATTGTCACCGAGTGTGGTGTGCAGGCAGGCATTTATGGTTTACACGTTACAGTTACAGAATCGGATCGTCGAGGCAAACTCTTGATGGTCGGCTGGGTTGACGAGGTCATTTTTTGTTGGCAGCTACAGCCGCAGCCATTTTTTAAGTTATCTTTAACGCTAAAATGGGTTTTAAAAAAGTAGACCCTCTCTGGATTTCTATGCCGAATTCAGAGGCATTATATGGGACGATATTAATAGTAACAAGCCAAACATATTACATGTATGTATGACAAAATGGAGATCTACATTACTACAGACTGACGAAGTCGGATCAGCTTACCCTACAGCCTGCTTCTTGTAATTTGGGAGAGTTTTTTAAATATATTTTTTAAATACCTACCATATAATATACTATACTATATTTAATTTGGGTGACCTTATTTAGGCCACATATGGCCTAAATAAGCTAAACCCCCCTCCCTTACCTTATTTGGGCCACAGGTGGCCTAAATAAGCTAAACCCCCCTCCTTTACCTTATTTAGGCCACATCTGTGGCCTAAATAAGCTAAACCCCCCTCCCTTACCATATTTAGGCCACATATGTAGTCAAAATAACTAAACCAATGTAAAGCATTGTTTTCTTTACAAGTTACATTATTATTTCTTTAAAACTCTTCACATCCATTTTCCTTCACAGCCGTATCGTACATGACATGTGATGTAGAATCAATTTAAGGTCCTTGGAAAGGTGACCAGAAAATAACAAAATTATATTAGGGTGACCTTATTTAGGTCACACTGGGCCTAAATAAGCTAAACCCCCCTCCCTTACCTTATTTAGGCCACACTGAGGCCCAAATAAGCTAAACCCCCTCCCTTATCTTATTTAGGCCACATCATA